CCCCAAAACCCCAAAACCCCAAAACCCCAAAACCCCAAAACCCCAAAACCCCATCACATTAAACTAAAGTTGAAATAAATTTATCTAGGGTAAATTATAGATGAAACCTAATTCTATCAATTTGTTATCGCTCTCAGAGTACGGCTTTACTACTAAGAAGAATCGTAAACAAGAAAAGAAAATTATTGTAAGCATTATTTCTTGCAAAAGATGCAAATGTATTTCTGAATAGAGTCTCACTGACATTTTAGGTACCCAATGACAATACAAGTACTATCCTTACAGGTAGTACAAAGCATAGCAAGCTTGATAATTATGGAGAGGAGACTAATTACACCAATCAACTGCGTAAAGTTCAGAAGGTAATCTTTCCCAATGACCATTTAGGAAGTACAAACCAGAAGAAATAGCTTCCAGCTCCTAAGTAACAGGATCAAACTTCTAAAAGTATTGCATTCTCAATTATTATTTAGAAAGAAGACGGACGAATCAAGAAGAAAATTGAAGCTGTTCACAAAAGAGCAGAGTCTTTGGTCCTCACACAAAAGTCTGCAGAGCAAAAATTCATGAAGAGGCTAGAGCTTAATACTATGGCTGATAAGATGTCCAACCTTAGGTACGATCAAACTCAGAAAAAGAGGCAACAACTGAACCAAGTCAAAGGCATTCACAGGCAGAATATTAGGAACTCAAATAGCCTCATCGGAGACCAAATCAGAGAAATGTTAAGAGTATACTCTTTACTTATCCATTCTAGGAAGGAAGAAAGCAGAAATAATATCTACAAGTCACAAGTAGTAAAACAGAAGTAAGAGATTTAGCCTTAAATTAATAAAGAAAGTTCTTAGTCAAGCAGCTTCAGGCTCAGCAGCAACAGAGACGTATGAAGTTAGAGAACCTTAAATAACCAAAAGTAAGACTGCAGTTACCAAAAATAGAGAAGAGATATTCTTGGCCGCTCATAAGATAAAACTGGAGAAGGAAGAACTCAAGCTTGAGTCTATAGATAGAAAGACAAGGAAATTCGAAAAGAAAGAGAAGATCTTCTTCGATAAACTTAGTAACACAAAGCAGATGGAAAGCAAGGCATATGAGTTACTACAAAACTGACTGAATACTTCTATACAGAGCCAAAAGAAAAGACTCCTCTTTGTATGCTAGCATTATGACGAGTATAGAAAAGGAAGAATAACCAAGTCAAGAGAGCATGGCAAGTTAACATGAAGAAGAACCATTCCCAGATCCTTGGTTATATGTCACTCGATGAAGCACTCAAAAGGGTAACTTTTCAATAAGATCTCGAAAAATAGGGGTTTTGGGGTTTTGGGGTTTTGGGGTTTTGGGG